AGGCCATGCTCCTGGGCCACCAAAGGAGCCTCTCTGAGTCCTGTCCCCAGGAGAGGATACACCCTCCCACTGTTCCTGGGAGGGAGGGATTCTGCCGTAACCAGGGGCGTCTCGCCCTGCCTGGGGCTCTGACCTTCCTGTGTGTGTGTGCAACGGAAGACGAGCTGATCCGGGAGGTCACCATCAACTGCGCAGAGCGGGGGCTGCTGTTGCTGCGAGTCCGGGACGAGATCCGCATGACCATCGCGGCCTACCAGACCCTGTACGAGAGCAGCGTGGCGTTCGGCATGAGGAAAGCGCTGCAGGCCGAGCAGGGGAAGTCAGACATGGAGAGGAGAGTGAGTGGGGCCAGCCGGCGAGCCTTGTCAATGTCAGGGCCACCTGGCTGTCATTCCCAGGGCTGAATGCAGCTGCTCCCAACACCCCAGGGAGGACCCCTGGGTCCGGAGTGTAAGGATCAGCCTGGTCTCAGCAGAGAGGTCTCTTCTGTGGACATGCTGTGCCAGCCACAGACCTCCCACTGGGTGGCAGTGCAGTCCCCAACAAAGTCTGGAGTCGGGCAGCTGGTGTGCCCTTTCGCCAGACATTCACCCCACCACGTCCACTTGGCAACATCTCAGGATAACCTGGGGTTCTGTCCTCAGATCGGAGAACTGGAAACAGAAAAGAGAGATTTGGAGAGGCAAGTGAACGAGCAGAAGGCCAAGTGCGACGCCACGGAGAAGCGAGAGACTGAGAGGAGGCAGGTGGAGGAGAAGAAGCACAATGAGGAGATTCAGTTCCTGAAGCGGACGAACCAGCAGCTGAAGGTGATTCAAGAGCTTCCCCCCTCCCCCGCCCACTCCACACCCTCAGCGCCTTTTTGTGGGTGCCTGTGCTATTGGTCTTAGCAGCAGCACCGGGAGTGGCTAGGACCATGCCTGGCAGTGCTGGGAATTGAACCCAGTCCTGTGCCTGCCAGCAGCACTCCTGCCCTTGGTGCTCTCCCCCTGGTCCCACAACAATTCCTTGAAGATAGTTTGACACTGATGCACGTGCAGTGGTAAAAAGGGAAAGAGGCTGGTCTTGGGAGGGGGCGGGTGACAAAGGTTGCAGGTTTCTGACCTCAATTCCCTGTGCATCTGGCCCTGGAGGGGTCTTTACTCTCCACAAACTTTCCAGGGCACCCACCTCCAACTGGATCTCTACTGGAGGCTTTTATATGGGGGGCTGGGGCACACCAGTCTGTGCTCAGAGGTTACTTCTGGCTTTGCGTTCAGAGATCACACTTGGGGACCATATGGGGATGCCGGGTATCAAACCTGGGTCAGCCAGGTGCAAGACAAGTGCCCTGCTTGCTGTACTAGCTCTGGTCCCTCTACTGAAGTAATTTTTTAAAAAACAGGGGCCACAGCTGTCAGTGCTGGGAGGGGCATTATATTTTTCCCCATAAAGCTTTCTGTCCTCAGGAAGCGGTGGGCATAGCGAAACAGAAAGCTGTCCTTTTGGTTTGGGCGTCACACCCATCCAGTGGTGCACTTGGGCTACTCCTGGCGCAGTGGTCAGGATGCAGTACTGGATTCAACATAAGGCTCCTCATATGAAGATGGCTGCAGCCTCACGCTCCAACCCCCTGGGCCAAAACGGAAGCCTTTTGGTCACTCCTGGCACCCCCTGGAGCGGACTGGCTTCTTGCGCAGACTCCAGGGGACATCATCGCTGGGAGGCTTCCCTGTCACGGAAGGGGTTTCTCCTCAAAGCCCTTCTGGGGAATCCTACTTCTCTCTAGCAGCATGGATAAGGTCGGGTAATGGGACTGTGGTGAAAAGGATCAGGCAGGGGGCCAGACTCAAGGCCTCTGAAAATAGATTCTCTCTGGTCCAAAGGTTCTCAGATTAGTCCCCGTACCAGCATCACCCTCCTTAGTTGCCAGCTTTTAGAAATCCTCAGGGCTGGGGTGATTATACAGTGGGGAAAACACTTGCCTTGCACGCAGCTGACTTGGGCTTGGTCTCCTGAGCACTGCCAGGAGTGATCCCTGAGTGACTACAGTGACTCTGTAGTCAGGAGCAAACCTTGAGCATAATTTGGTGTGGCCCAAAATTAAAAGAAAAAAAAATTTCCCCAAAAGATTTTTTGAAAAAAATTTTTTTAAAGATTGGGTCCATCCCAGATCTACTGGACCAGAAACTTGGGCTAGGATCCTATGATGTTTTCATGTCTCCAGGAGATTCTGGCACTTTTTAAAACTCAAGACCCAATTGTTGTAGGTAATGTGGCCTGGGCAGAAATACCACTGAAGGTACTTTCCTCTGCCCCAGCCCCTGGTCTTACAGGAAGCTCATTCTGGTAACTGGCACGCTTTACTGGCACTATAAATCAAGGCCAGGCTTTTGAGATAAGGGTCTTGTATTAACTGCTAGTGGATGGGATGCTGCTGAAAGGCTGAATGAAAACAAGAAACACCAGCAATTTTCACCTCCAGCGAGGCAGGTTCACTTAGCAGCCTCTAATGGTGCCTCCCTTATCTCTTTTTTTTTTTTTTTTTTTTTTGCTTTTTGGGTTACACCTGGCAATGCACAGGAATTACTCCTGGCAGTGCTCAGGGGACCATATGGGATGCTGGGAATCGAATCTGGGTTGGCCGTGTGCAAGGCAAACGCCCTACCCGCTGTGCTATCTCTCCAGACCCATCTCTGTGTCTTTCTACCATAAGCTCAAGCCCCTCAGTTCCTTCCATAGTTACAGCAGCAAAACAGAATAATACCTTGGGATCTTTTTTGACAAGCAACCTTGCATTCGCCAGGGTGAAGGTTTTTTTTTTAGGAGTTATTTTTACTGGAGCCAAGCTAGTAAGTACAGCAGTGCGTGCAATCCCCAGGAGAGACCCACTTACTTCAAGACCTGTCCACACGATAGTAAATCACTGTGCTGGTGGCTCGAGCCACATCTGAGTCACTTCCAAGCGCCTTCAGCTTTACATACTAGATGGACAGCTCCCCACTCTCTGGTAGCAATTTTCCCTAATTGGGTGTCAAGTTGTCTCAGTGGTTGAAAATTTGCTGCTTCCCAAATCTCTCATCCCAAGCACCAGAGCTCCCAGGATCCCAATCTGAAGCGCCAAATGCTTAACTTAGCAGACATCGGTCAAGCCTGAAATCCAAGTCATGAAAAACCGTGATTTCAACAACTTTTATTCAATTTCCTCTTCAATGCTTTATATTAAACACTGCACCGTTAGTGTATAGAAACCAGGACAGCTCCAGTTTCTCCGAATTTAGGCCGGCCAAAGCCAGAAACCAACTAATAAGAGAAAACATGGAACTGGGAGGGAAGGGAAAAACACTTGGAGTGACAGCGTTTGGATTCTTCTCTCTAGAGCTCTAACCACCTCCCAGCTATGTGTTAGGCTGCAAGTTTCAAATATTAATGGAGTTTGTTTTTGTTTTTCAGGCCCAACTGGAAGGCATTATTGCACCAAAGAAGTGATACTTTCCACATGGGTCTCGGCAAACACTACTCCCCCATCCTAAGTCCCTTGTAATAAAGAGCTAGTTTCCTGCGTGAACAGGCCATATCCTCCCCCCATCACCTCCTACACAGGCTGCCCGCTGGGCACTCGAAGATGCTGCAGCTTGTCTCAGTCCAAGGCAAACCGGCCAGGCTTAGATCCGCAACCACCAACACTAAGGCTCCGTCACTTTGCACATCCCCCGTTCCCAGCAGAAGCAGCTTCGCTGGTACCCACACTGCATCTCTCTCACACCGTAATGTGAACTTCTGTGGCCCGTCTTTCCCTTTCTTGATGTCTTTTTAGCATCCCTCCTCCAATGCAGTTCTCAGAACTCCTCATTTTGGAGTTTTCGGTTTAGTAGCATCTTATCCCCACCTGCCAGAACACCTGGCTGCTTAGGTGAGGCGCAAAGTCCAAGTCTCGGCTTTGGAGCCAGTCAGTGTGTCAGAAAGAAAAATGGGTCCAACATCCACTCTGCGCTGCTCACACCCCAGTTCCTGCTCGGCCGCTGATCTGATTCGTTCACCTTGTTCTGCAGAAAACCAAACCCTGACCCTCCAGCCCTCTTGCTAGCTGTGTTTAATTACCAACTGGAGAGGTGCCCAGGGCCCACATACAGTTCTAATTATTAGGGACCAGGCCACGGCCTGAAGACAGCTGCACTTGACTGTTTCTCTCAAGCGAAGTTCGGTTTGGAGGCTCTGGGCTTTTCTTGTTTGGTTGACCCAGAAGACCCCATCAGTGACATTCAATCCTTGACTCGGCAGAGCAGGCGCAGTGGGGGCAGCAAGCCGGGCAACTTCTGTCGCTGGCTCTGATTTCGGGAGCATCAGACCTAAGACATGTCCACTCGCCTGGGATGCTTTAAGGGCATGCTCTTCACTCGAGGACAGGGGCAGAGGACCTGGCTCTGTGGGGGAGTCTGCACCAACACTCTTGTGTTGTTGCTGGGGGCCGCCAGGCTTTGTGGAAGCAGGGCAGGTCCACGAGAAGAGCCGGGCTTAGCAGGCAGCGTGTCCCCCAGCAGAGTGCAGACCGGAAGCACAGTTTCTCATCACAGCCGCCATCCCAAGGAACTGTTCCTGTACAATGACGGGCTGTGCTGTCACCTCCACAGACAAGAACTGTTGGCTGAGGCATGCTGACTCCCACGTCTTTACTGAGCCCACTTGAGACTCAAAGACGAATATTGCTGCAGTTTTCTCTAATGTCAAAGCCCAGGTCGCGTACGCTCCCATTACATCCTTGAATTTTTCTTCTTAGAATTCTTCCTAATTGCTAGTACAAAAATAAAGGCCATACTTTCCATTTTAGAGACCTCATTCCTGTCTCAGACATTTAGCTGACAGTTTCAATGGGAAGCGTAAGAGTCACCTTAAGTGTCAGATGTCCACCCCATGACCTCCATCAGCCCCCTTGGGACTGCGGAGATGCCACCTTTATTTTCACTAGCATTGGTGTATGGGCTCAACTGTCAAACCTCACTAAATGCACTAATTTCTAAATGCACTATGGCCTTAGAAATGCCTGCTTGACATGAAGAAAATGGACACAATTGCATATTTTTGTATAATTTAATAAACGTCTGTAATGCTACTGCTTATGTTTGAATTTTCTGCGTTTATGTTTCTGTCCCTCTGAGTCATTGGTCTTCTTTTTGTTCCTGTTCCTATTTTTCACGTTGTGAGTCTCATAGTAACGGACACCAACTTTTTTGGACTGCTGCTGGCGGGCTGCTCGCCTTCGCTATAAAAAGGGGTTTAAAGAAAGGCAAAACTGAATCAAACATTGAAAATCACAAAATGTGCCCCCTGGTTCCTTCTCCTCTACCCCATCTCCCATACTGCTTCCACATCGCCTGACATCGTCAGTGTGAAAACCGAGGGAAAATCCTCACCATGGAGCTGCCACAGTGACTTGCGACAACTCTGAGTCAGACTGTCCCTCGGTCCTCCCAACCATGGGAAGTCCTTTGTGCAGCACCCCAACAGCGTCCTCAGTTCCATGAACAATCCCAGGAACAAGTCTGCTGCAGCTCCGATGGGCCCAGCTACAAAGTGCAGTGGCCTGTGCCTACAGGTGTCATTCCCCTGGGCCGACTGTCTCCTGACACCACACACAAGCTCGAGGGCAATGGTCAGAAATCTTAAACTCAGGACCTCTCCCAGTGGGCCTTTTTTTTAACTGGTCACTTGGGCCAGCTGGGAACCAGGTTCCTCACACTCAGCTCTAGTTGGGGTGTGGCTCCTGAGAATCAGCTCTGAGATTTCTACTTGTGGTGGTAAGAAAGACCAAAGTACGTACTTCCTTAGATGTAAGCATCCTGCCACTTTGATCTGAGGGGTCCTCTTCCCTCTGGGCCTTCCTCTTCTTTCCCTTTCTGGTAGGCGCTGGAAACAGTACATAAAAGAGAAACAGGAATTTTCTATTTGAAGTTCGTCTATGAATCTTATGCTGGGATGGGGCTGGCCATGTTAGAGGACGGCCAGCTGCTGTGGACACAGCACAGCGGGCAGTGAATAATAACGCAAGAAACACTGATTTAGAATCTATTTGTCCATCTGACAGAACAGACACCCCCTCACCCCCCAGCCAGGACAGGGCTCCCACATGCGAGCCTCCAAGGAGGGAGTCCAGGTTCCAGCACTGCTAGGTGAGGAGCAGCCCCCGAGCAACATCCGATCAGGTGTGGGCCAAAAACAAAAGCAAACCAAACAAGAAACACACGAAGCACTGTACTCCACAAAAGGCTAATTTGCCCCAGAAGGAAAAAGTGTGAGCAAGAGAGAGGAAAGAGAGAAGAAAAGTGTCTGCCATAGAGGCTGGGGGTGGCTGGGAAACTGGGGACACTGGTGGCGGGAAATGTACACTGGTGAAGGGATGGATGTTGGAACATTGTATAACTGAAACCCAATCATGAACAACCTTGTAACTGTATCTCCTGGCAATCCAGTTGGGGAAAAAAAAAAAGCAATTGGCTTGCAGATCCATCCTTGCATTGTATATAATTACATATAACGTCCCCTTTTCAAGAGGAAGTTTCCTGAACTGTCAATTTAATCCCAATAGATATGCAGAAAGTGTAAAAACAAGTTTTAACTCTACCTGTGTCTTCGACTTCTTCGACAGCTGCTGTTCTTGGTTCTTTAAGTTTTGCAAAAACCTTTTCACTCAGTCCTTTGGCAATTCTGAAACAGAAGGGCAAGATGAAGCAACCGACACACTCCTCAGCGCTGGTGAGCGGGACAGACGCCCGCTCCCACACCGCCAGCGCTCTGATGGAAGTCTGCACCCGAGGTTTCTGTGCTGGCCTGTGCATTTCTGAAAGACTGGAGGATATTTCTCATACTTTGGGAAGTGGATACAGAAAAACATACAGGGCTGAAGAGGTAGCACAGCGGGTCAGGCGCTTGCCTTGCATGCAGCCCTGGTTCAATCCCTGGCATCCCACATGGAAATCTGAGTCCTACAGAACTGATCCTCCACTGCAGAACCAGAAAAAAGCTCTAAGCACTGGTGTGTCTTCCCACTGCACAAACCCCCCCCCCCAACACACACACACACACACACACACACACACACAAACCAGAAACAAAAACCTGTACAGATCAATTTTAGAAACAGCAATAATTCCCCCTCTAAAAACTCTATTCACCTGGTGGCAGCAAACTTCCAGAACCCAGTGAAAAACCCGAGTATGTGAGCCTGCAAACTCCAGGCCTCAAGGGATAGGGTCAGCTCTCGCCCCTACGAGGGTCCTGGCTATCACGTCCACAACTGCCTCCAGTTGCCACTTCATTGCATTAACAGTCATGATCCAAAGACTCACAAATGAATCTTGGAAGCGCACAGCTTGCTGCAGAGATTTCTCAGCCTGCAGCTGCGACACCCACTGTTCATAACAAGCAACACATAACAGATTACCTAGAATCTGCCTGTTGGGCGGGCTCGAGTGGTGGTGGGAAAATTCGAAATAATGGTGGTGGAAAGGTGTAATGGTGGTGGAATTGGTGTTGAAATATTGAATGTGACCAATTATTCTGAAAAACTTTAAGGAAACAACAACAACCAAAAAAACCCAAATTCTTTTTAGGTGCTCAAGGCAAGTGTCTGGGATAAGAAGGAGCCCCAACAGAAGTTCATGAGAAGATGAGGAAAACTACCTGACTGCTGAGAACTTTTTTGCTTTGGCTTTGTTTAAAAACTTGTTGTATTTCGCAATCTTCTCATCCAGGGCTCTGAGGACCTCAGTGGTGTCCCTGCCCGTGGGCTCCTCCTGCAACTCTGAGGAAGACTCATCATTGCTGTCATGGTCCTCCTCCTCTTCGAGGGGCTCCTGCTGCTCCTCTTCCTCTCTGGAGCTCTCAGGCTCTTCTTCTTCTTCTTCTTCTTCAATATCGGACATCTCTAGAGGAACCAGGTCATCCCCAGAAAACTGGGGCATCACATTGATTTTGCCAAAATTCTGCCGAACCCGCGCGAGGATCTGCTGCATCTCCGAGCTGGGGTCCTGCGGGCTGGGCTCCTCCGCCACCGGCTCCACGACAGGCTCCACGACAGGCTCCACGACAGGCTCCGCCTCTTCACCCACAGCGCTGGCAACCACATTCCCTTCCACCTGCTGCTGGGGCCTTTCTGGGGCAACTTCCGAAGATGAAGAGGATGGAAGCTATTCAGGACAAAACCAAGTGGGGTGGGGAGAGGGGAGAAATAAGAATATAAAAACTGACTTCCTAAACTGGCACCTGACCATCAAATAAAGTGGTCCTCTTCTAGGGACCAAGAGGAAGTGTGAAAACACCCAAGTTTGAGATGCATCGTGAATTTGGTACTCAAGTACCAAAGGAAGGGCCGAAGAGATAGCAGAGCAGGTAGGGCACTTGCCTGCGTGCAGCTGACCTAGATTTCATCTCCCATGTCCCACAGGGTCCCCCAAGTCTACCAGGAGTTTGTCCCTGAAATCAGAGCCAGGAGTAAGGCAGGTGTGGCCACAAAACCAATCCAGCCCTTGCCACCCCCTCCCAATGGTGTCCCAAAGTACCGAAGGAACATAGAGTTGCTGCTTGAAGGAGACCCCAAAGTCAAAGCCCCTGTATCACTCATAGCTGACTCTCCCTATACCGGGATTCACAACTCCGGACCCAATCAAAAAGCATGTGGCTACCTGAATCCATAAAGTGGATTTATCCTTGAACATTGTGGATTCAAACCTGTGTTTTTCAAGGATGCTGGACATTCTCTGTGTTTTCAGGAGGCGCCAGCTGGGAGTACTTGACCCATAAGGCCATTCCTGTTTCCCCCAGGAAGGGCTCCCTGCACCGTCCAAGAGGGATGGAGGGATGACTCAACGGGCGGGAGAATATGCATCATAGGTGGGAGCCCTGGTACCGCATGGTCCCCCGAGTAACACCTGAGCAACCCCTGGGAGTAGGTGCCGAGCACTGCTGAGTTTGGAGCCCATTAACGCCTCCCGTTCCTCAAAGAGAATGTAGGCCCAGCTGAACACAGACCATGTTCTAGGTCCTGAGGAGCAGCCCAGGGAGTTTGCTCCGAGAGGGACCCTCTGAGGAGATACCAAGTCCAGCCTGCTGTGGATCAAGGCGCAGAACCCGACCTGTGTGCCCGTGTTACACTGGGGCTTCCCGCGTGTTATAGCACTTCATCCCTGTAGCAGACTCAGGAACCTGAGGCAAGAGGAGTCACAGCTAAATAAACCAGGGTTCTGTATAATTCAGGAAACTACAATATCCGAGCATGCTTCTTTCCACGGGGCGCCACCCCCCCCCCCAAACACACACAGTCTGCGGCACTCAGGGGTTACTCCTGGCTCTACACTTAGAAATGACTCCTGGTAGTGCTTGGGGGACCATATGGGATATTGGGGATCTAACCTGGGTTGGGCCACATGCAAACCCTGCCTACTGTAGTATCACTCTGGCAGACAGTAGGCCTGTAAGCGACCAGAAATAGTGCAACTCCCCCAGAAGGGGGGAGGGGGGAAGATTCCACACAGAGAGGTGAACGAAGACAGTCCCACCCCCGTTGGTCACCAGGCTTCTGGTGGGTGCGTCCATCATGCTTTTACCTGGGGGGCAGCAGCAGGCTCTGCATTGGGTGGCTTGACAAAGAAAGGGATCCGGCCTCGCTGCCAGTCATTGAGAACCATCTTACCCACAGTCTGCAGGTCGGGCTCACCACCCTGACACGGAGAGAAAACTCCCCATTAAACACAGAAAGGAACACCCACCCTGCCTCCCACCATGTAGACCTTTCATCCGACCCAGTTTGGGGATTCTGTTTGGGGCAGCTCGGTGCTAGGGGTGGCTCTGGTGGTTACCAGAGCACCGGGATAGAGCCCGGGCACCCCTCACACAGAGCATACTCTCTGGTGCTTTGGGCCACCGGCCGGGGCCCCAGCAGGCCCATTTTTGGACCTCACACCATACAGAGGAGAGACTCCCATGGAGCCCCCACCCCTGCCGGCCCACCTTCAGTAACTTCCCGGTCCGGAAAGCCAGCTTCTCAAGAAAGTCCTCGGCGTTCTCCCAAGTGTCGATCTTGTAGGTCTTGCTGATATACTCCGGCTTTGCGCGCTCAAGTACGGCACCAATGTGATCCTCGGGAGTCTTGAGTTTTTCAACCTGCACCTACATGTTAATAGGAAATGGTGTGCTGACCTTTCTTCTTTATTGCTGGTGCCAGGCCCTCACACATGTAAGCCAAAAATGCTACCGCTTCCCTAGGTCCTGAGGAGCAGCCCAGGGAGTTTGCTCCGAGAGGGACCCTCTGAGGAGATACCAAGTCCAGCCTGCTGTGGATCAAGGCACAGAACCCGACCTGTGTGCCCGTGTTACACTGGGGCTTCCCGTGTGTTATAGCACTTCATCCCTGTAGCAGACTCAGGAACCGCTTCCCTGGCCCACCCCCCAAACCTGCTTATAGACGCTCTGATGACAGCAGCAAAGTCCCTAGTGCTCTTTGGAACAACACCAGAAAGTAAGCTTCAGCGCCATGAAGCAAGCGCAGCCCGGCAGGAGGGAGTCACTGAGCCTGACCACAGCCTGAGCCCTGGGCTCAGCTCTAATCCCGGCTCACCACAAGCTCGCTCTGTGGCTTCTGCCAGCAGCTTAAGGCTTGGAATGCTTCTCACTACTGTACTCCAGAAAGGGCCAAGAGCCTGCCAGTCCCGGGCCACTGAGGAAAGGGAGTCGTTTGTGACGGGCAGCAAGGAGCACGTGGCCAGCAGCACTGGTGAAGGTTAGGGTAAGGAGTTTGGTCACCCTCAGAAACAAGTGAGGAGCGACTGGGTTCCAAATGACTCAACTCCTAAACCCATGAAGCTGGATCACCACTAACCACAAACAGGCCCTGCTTCTCCTCAGGTCCCGCGTGTGAACCCAGAGCTCTTTTCACGGGCTGACACTGAGCAGATATGCTCCTGGTTCTACTCACTCCGCCAACTGGCTGGAGCAGGATGGAGAGAGCGCCCTGCTCAACATCACACTCCAAGGCTGACCCCAAAGTGCCTTCTGAAGGAGTCCAAGGCACAGGGCTCGGGGGCCCTCACAGAACAACTTTCCGCACTCTCCACAGGGAACAGAGAGCCGACCACAGCTGAAGGACTCACCACGCCTTTGAGCACGATGTCGGTCTCTGAATCCTCAGATGGGTAAACCACCCCCGGACAGTCGATGAGGAATATCCGGCGCATCAAGGTGATGTACTGCCAGACCTGCAGACAGACAAGCCTGAGATTCCCAGCGGGCACCTGGAGCACCACAGTCCCCAGGCTAGTGACAAGAGACGTGGGCTTGAGGAGTCACAGAGAAGCCAACTGGTGAGACATTAAAGCCAAGTAGCTCCTCTACTTATGCCACGTGTGCCTCTCCACCAAGGATGAACCATAGTTTCCATCAGCTAAGAGTGTCAAGGCCACCTCATGGGGGGGGTGGAATTGGCATGTCCTTCTTGCCCTGCCGAGACCACGAGTTGCTCCCCCATGAGCGGCTCTCTGGAACGGCCATGGCCCCAGAGGCACACAGACCTAATTCGGAACCCAGCAGCTTCTGGCAGAAATGTGAATGGACTATGCAGGAAGCTATGGTGCGGTGCCCCCCAGGAAGGGAGGAAATGGTGTCTGTCTCTTCCACCATTCCCCAACCCGCCCTCCCCGTCAGCATGGTGGCCACCACCTCAGAGCTTGTTGGACAGTCAGGTATGAGCCGGCGGTGAAGGGGCAAATGTGGCCTCATGGGATGGGGGGGCAGAACTGGCATGTCCTTGCCCTGCCGAACCACGAGTTGCCCCCGTACGAGTGGCTCTCCGGCACAACCATGGCCCCAGAGGCACACAAACCAATCTCGGAACTATTCAGCTTTTGGCAGAAATTCCTCCAGACTTAATTAGCAAAATATCAGAAATCCAAAATCGCACGGTCTTCATAACCAGCAATAGAAAACAAATTATTTCATGATGCCTTTTCAGCAGGTTTGATTGTTGGAGGAAAATTCCAAATAATAATGGTGCACCTTTCGTCGAAATAATGAATGTAATCAACGTAGAGAAAGAGTTAAGTGGAAATTAGCTGCTTTACAGGCACGGGGAGGGATGGCATGGGGGGTATATTGGGGTTCTTGGTGGTGAAGGAATGGGTGTTTGATCACTGTATGACCAAGACCTAAACCTGAAAGCTTTGTAATTGTTCTCACGGTGATTCAATAAATAAATAAAAATTAAAAAAAAAATGTGTCAAGGCCAGGCAGAGGCAGGGCCTCAAGCCAGCGCTGTGCTAGCACACTTGCAGGGCTTGGTTCAGTAGCCTTGTGCCAGCCCCACACCCTGTGTTCCAAAGCAGGAGCCCCAGTGCCGGCGTCAATCCCAGCAGTGGAATTTTTGGTTTTATTCTCTCCAACCTAGGCATCAAAGGGTCTTGGACTAGTTTGGTTTATTGAAGTAAATGGTTGGACAGAGGATTTAAAACAGACTTAAGCTTTGCATGTTCTTAGTGTCATCAAAATGGGTAGAAACTACTCTGGTAAACTTCAGACCTTTTTTCCCGGTCTTTGGACCACATCCAGTTTTGCTCTTAGAAGGGGTTCTGGGAACCATACGGGAGTACCACTGATTAAACCTGGGTCAGCTGCATGCAAGGCAAGAGCCCTACTGGCTTCCTATCACACGGGCCCCATTCCAGACTATTATGCGGACACTGAGCTCCCAATGGGGAGGTGGGGGTGGAGGGTGTCCTCATTCAAGAGAGGTACATAGCAACCCCCATGTTCGGGGCTGGAGCGATAGCACAGTGCGTAGGGCATTTGTCTTGCACACGGCAAACCCGGGTTCGATTCCCAGCATCCCATACAGTCCCCTGAGGACAACTAGGAGTAATTCCTGAGTGCAGAGCCAGGAGTAACCCCTGTGCATTGCCGGGTGTGACCCAAAAAGAAAAAAAAAAAGAAGACACTCCCATGTTCTAAACAATTGCTCTCTGTGGAAATCAAATCAAATTAGAAAGGCGTTTAAGTGCCCTGGGCCAGACATACCTTGGTTTCCCCTGCAATGGGCGCCACACTACAGACTTTCTTGGAGCGCAGCGTGTTTATTATCGAGCTCTTGCCAACATTGGGATAGCCGATGAACCCAACACTGATCTGTTTCTTGTCTGTATGCAACTGTCAAAAAGAGAGAAAACGCGCCACATAGTCACATACATACACAATCTATATATCCATACTGTAATATTACAGATACCCGAATAGCCTTCTGGATAAACAGATTGTGTTGCTTTAACAGAAATAGCAGTCTTGCTGGTGATTGTGCTGGTGTGGTTCAGCTGCAGATCACATGCTTTGCATATATAGACCAATGTCTGAATCCCTGGCATAGTTGGAAAAAAAAACTAAACAACACAGTAGAGTCAGAGCGATGGAGGGATCGAGGGCTTGCCTTGCATTGATTAAACCGTGGTTCAATCCCTGACATAGAACCTGGTCCTCCAGCACTGCACAAGACCTCTTGGCTCTTGACTCCAGATCCAAGTTTAAGCCCTGAACACCACCAGGTGTGCCCTACCCCACAAAAAACAAACAAACAAACAAACAAACAAACAAAAAAACAAACCTTGAGCACCACTCTTCAAACACTTTTGGTAAACTATATCTCATAGAAAGGAAAATCAAGACAAGGGATTCAATGAGCAAGGGATCTGACAGCAGGAAAACACACAGCATTCTCTGGTGGGAAAGGAAATTCCCCACACTCCACAGCCAGCCCTGCAGAACTGGTGATCATCCCAACCTTCTCAAAGTTTCAGTGCACCAGAGAATTTGGTGATACCTTCAAGAGAAGTACAGGAAAATGCAGCTAATCAGCACCAGAGCCAGACCAGATTATTATGAATTTTAATTATAGCACTGAGCATAGAAACTGGGACTAGTTTGAGGTGAGAATACTGTAAACCCTGAGTGACTAATAATTCAGCGGTACACTTGTATGACGACACCCAGGGAGGAAAGAAGGAGACTAGTGTGTGGAGAGAGATAGATCTAAGAAACTGAATCCTGGGGGCGAGAATGCTAGTATAGCAGGTAGGGGCGCTTGCCTGGCATGCAGTCACCCTGGATTTGATCCCTGGCACCTTATATGGTCCCTGGCAGGAAAGATTCCTGGGCACAGAGCACACCCCAAAACAAAACAACAACAAAAACAAAACAAAACAAAGTTTCTTAGAAAGAAACTAAATCCTATTTCCATTACCCATAGCAGAAATTTAAAAAATCCCCTAAAGCTGAGGGAGGAGTCATTAACAGGCAATTAAAACATGGACAAGGGCCAGAGACACGGCTCAAAGGGCTGCGCATGTGATTCTCACGCAGGAGGTGGGGTCTGATCCCCAGCACAGCATAGTCCCTGAGCACCCACAAGCACCTCCAAGTGTGTGCCCCTCCTTCACAGTGAAAGGTGAGGTGGGGGTGGGAATAACAGAAGGGACAGCCAGTGTTTATTTCTGGGAAATGGGGGCAGAGGGTGAGTGTGTTCTGTTAGGAGGTGGCAGACTTCGTTCAAGGTGCCCGACCAAGCAGGAGGGCCAAAACAGGCTGTGGAGAACAATGCCACGAGCTGGCCTCAGGGCTTCCCAGAGTGGCACTGCCCTCACAGGGATCCACTGCCTCACTTTGGCGAGGTGGCGCACCAGCAAGGGGACAGAAACCACATAAAGACTCGAGGGAGGAGGAAAGAGGCCTCCGAAGCCTTGAGCAGCAAGCGGCAGGGAGGGCCCACTGCAAGCAAGGGCTGTGCCTCTAGGTGCCAGGGATCCTGGGACAGGGAACAACAGGGTGAGAGGTGGAGGGAGAGGTGGGGCTAGAAAACATCCCCGAGCCCCTCCTAGTCCTGAGGCTCTGTGAGCTTTGACATCTCTAGGAGACACATTTTACAATTACCAACAGGATGTGGGAAATAAGATGGCGACTTCTCCAACACACAGTGGCATGAGAAACCCCCACGGAAACCCAGGGGGCTGCGGCTCCACACCCAGGAGGAGCAGAGCAGACGTCCCTACCTTTCCAAACTGCCGGAGAAGCTGAATAAAGGCTCCTTTGCCAAAGGGGTTGGTGAGACTGGCATGGAAGGCGAGAGTCGGGTAATCTTGGGAGAGGACAGCGACCCACCGCTTCTGCAGGGAGAGAAACGCCGGGAATTTGTTTATGTTCCAGGCGGAGAAGAGGCAGAGCCTGGCTCACAGGGCTGTGCTTCAGACAGAAGGTTGTGTAAGGAAGATGTTCGCTGTAATTACTCGAAATGGCTTTTTCAAGTATGACAGCTAATGCTGTCTTTTGTCTTCTAAATACAAAACACTATTCCAAAGATGCCTTCATTGCTTCTAAACAGAACTAATGTGCCGTAATGTGAAACAGGCCTGGGCGCGGCAGCCGCCTTCTGCCAGGCCCATGGCCCATGCCACTCCTCTGTGCGCACTGCTGGCCCTTCCCAATGAGCACAGGATGAAAGATCACCCTGCTCATCCTGAAAGCAAGCAAGCACACCTGAGTTCTGCTTTCAAAGAGAAAACCAGGGGACTACAATCTTGAGTGCAATGTTTATTTTATTTTTTCAATCTCTGAGCTTTTTATGTATTTAATTTAAAAAAAAAATTAAATCTGGGGCTGGAGCAATAGCACAGTGGGTAGGGCATTTGCCTTGCACGCAGCCGACCCGGGTTCGATTCCCAGCATCCCATATGGTTCCCTGAGCACCGCCAGGGGTAATTTCTGAGTGCAGAGCCAGGAGTAACCCCTGTGCATCGACAGGTGTGACCCAAAAAGCAAAATATATATATATATAATAATTAAAAAATAATTAAATCACTGTGAGATAGACCCTTATCAAGCTGTTCATGATTAGGTTTCAGTCATACAGCACTCTAACACCCATCCCTCCATCAGTGCATATTTCCCAGCACCAGTGTCCCCAGTTACACTCCCATCACCCCCAGCCGGCCTCTATGGCAGGCGAAGAGCGCAATGCTTCAATTGATGCCCTAAACCCTAGAAAGCAGGAAGCTGGTCTGTTTGTGGTACACTCGAAGCCGACTCCCATAGGTGACCTTGGGGACTGTCCTTGGATCAGCAGCAGTACTTACCGTTGCCCAGGTTGGGACAAGATCACATTTGTTAAGAACAAACAGGAGGTGTTTCCAAGGCTTTTCCTTTTTCAAATACGTCTCGATGTGAGGGGAACGAGTACCCATTGGGTCCCTAGCATCAAGAACTTGAACAACAACATCTGATGAATCTATTACCTGTAAATTCAAAGAGACAGACAGGATTTGCCACAGTGCAAGCGCAAAGTAAAAGAGGGAACAAGAAGAAAAGAAAAACGAGACAATTTCAGTAAGTCTTATAAGGAGACTAGATTGTAGATACACTCAACGATCAGAATTCAAGTTTTTTTTCTGTGGGTATTTAAAAAACTTCTTAGATAATACCCATCTTATCTCATGACTACTATAAATTACTATGCGGAATTATCTATTTCTTAGACTTCTACCATTTATAGGCTTTTGTGTATTTTAACATTTCATTTGATTTCAGAATACTGACTCCCTGTTAAGTCACTATTCTATTCTGTGACTGTGCTAGGAAGAACTTTCATTAGTAAGATCGTTAACCTGTGTGGGAGAATTCCAATGATGAGCCACCAATGCTCTTTTGAGATGATTAATCTGTGGCCATTAAACTCTACCAGTAAAGGAGAACAGGGCTCAGGCCCCACAGAGATTCTCTCTAAGCTGCAGGAGAGGCCAGGTAAGTACCCAATCTTTCTAGGCATGCATTTTCATGAAAGGATGAGACAAAGTAACGTAAAAGTATCTCTAGTGGGCCCAGAGAGATAGTACAATGGCTTAAGGCTCTTTCCTTGCACGCAGCGGACCCAGGTTCAATCCTCAGCACCACATTTGGTTTTCCTGGCACCACCAGGAGTGATCCCTGACTGGAGAGGTAGGAGTAAGCCCTGAGCGCACTGGGTGTGGCCTCAAAACAAGCCAAAAATGTCTTGGGTAGAGAGACAGCACAGCAGTTTAAATGCTCACCTTGTATGGCTTTACCTCAAACTCGATCCCCTGTACCACATACTGTTCCTCAAGCACAAGGCTGGAGATTAGCCCCAGGCATCACCTGATGTGGACCCCCCCCCAATTATTCTTCTGCTAGACTGGAGATGCAGTACAGGGTTCACAGTAAGGTTCCCTTGCAAACATGAAGCCTTGGGTTGAACCCCTGCATGGGGCTGGTGGAGAATATTATGTAGCTCAACCACGCGTGATAAATCCAGACAGGAATAATAATACTTTAGCAGGTAATCCAAAGAAATATTGATATATTAAACACACACATGTGTATCTGTATAACTGCTAACGTAAGTAATTTTTAAAATGTAGCCATTAGGAAATAGCGTTTGTGTGGCGATATCATTGGTGGTTTCTCTGTGGGGGAAGAGGCTGGAATGGGTCTGTTCTTTTCCTCACAGAGCACCGATATCTCACAATCAGCTTTCTCAGAGAAAGTCATGAGAACACAGCGAACACAGGGATAGGGAATTTAGAAGCTTACCTTGTAGAGCTCACCCCATATTCTTTTGGACTGTCCTTTCTTATAGATCTCTTCTTGGGCTTCATTTCTAAATGAGAAAACACCTAAAGTGAGCAACAGAAACACCCTAAAAATGCAAGAATATTTTGGGGCAAGAGAAGCCAAAAACTGAAGGAAAATGATGTCAAAACAAGTTGGAGACAGACCAAAGCAAAAACAAAAAATAAAACAGTGACTATATCCAAATATTCACCGACAGACAAGTGAACAAAAAAATGTGGCACTGGGCAGGGAATACATTTCAAGAACAGAGTTGATGCCCTGCATGTGTGAGGCCTGGGGTCTGAAGCCCTGCACCAGGGATAAATGAAGTTTGTGCAAAATAAAATATTACTCAGCAATAAAAAAGGACTGTGGTTCTGATACATGCTACAAGGAATGAAACCAGCAGGCAGAAGAGGACATATGCTGTCTGACTGTACTTCTATAAGGCTCCACTTGTGAGCACAGCCAAATCCTTAAGGGACTAACAGTAGAATGGTGGGCACCAGGGGCCAGGGGAGGGGAGAACAGGCAGTTTTATTTTGGGATACCATGCGTAGATTCAGGAGGTATTTGGTGGTGATAGATACAAAATTATGTTAATGCATCTAATTCACAACTATATACATTTTAAATTCGGAGAGCCCGGCAAGCTACCGAGAGTATTCGATATGCCAGACATAGTAACAACAAAGTCTCCAATGGAGACGTTACTGGGCCCGCTCGAGCAAATCGATCAACGGGAGGGCCTTTACCTTTACCTTACATTTTAAATGGTTATAATGGGGTCAGAATAGTAACACAGTGGGGAGGGCACTTGCCTAGAGTAAAGCCGACCTGGGTTTAAACCCCAGCACCACATTATGTCCCTTGATCCCCACTAGGAGTGATTTCTTTCTTTCTTTCTTTCTTTTTTTTTGGGGGGGGGGGCTTTTGGGTCACATCCAGCGATGCTTAAGGGTTACTCCTGGCTCAGGGGACCACATGGGATGTTGGGGATCAAACCCAGCTCAGCTGCATGTGAGACAAACTCTCTACCACACAGAACAATCACTAAGGGTCAGATAATTTTTTTAAATTGATTTTTACTGCAACTAGGCAGTATCTCATGAAGAAAGAAACTGGGAAAACCATTGTTCATAATGTACTTTGAACAGCTTCCCTGTCAAGGTGAATTTTTTTTTTTGAGGCATGTTGAGAAATCTGTTGATTTACTGGTGTAAAGTCTTTGAAAAAAAAATTGTTCTGTTCCCCTTGCCCTTCAGAACCTACTAGGTACACCTTTTGGAGGAAGGAAAAAGTTCAAATAATCAGAAAACAAAATCTAAGAACAAATAATAAAGGAAATATTCATTTCATTTCATTTCATCATCCTGTTAATCGTCGATTGCCTCGAGCAGGCCCCAGTAACGTCTCTTTCATCCTAGCCCTGAGATTATATTCACGGCTCTTTAGGAGAATGAGACCCATCATTGTTACTGGTATTTGGCATATTTGGTAGGCCACGGGGAGTTTGCCAGACTCTGCCCTGTGGGCAGGCTACATTCGAAAGCCTGCAAGTTTGTCCAAAACTTAGACTTATATTTCCTTTGTTTGGACAAACAAAGGAAATATAAGTCTAAGAATAAAGGAAATTGCCCCTCTGTCTTGTCTAGCCTCAAATGGCCTAGCATTATGTCTCGAAGGCCCACAGCTGGCCAGGGGCTGACAAAGGCAGGGCAGTGGCACTGCTAGCCAATTGGAAGGGACCACGCTAAGGGCACTGAAGAGATGCAGGGGCAAGGGAGAGCTCTCTGGTGCTGCTGTGAGAAATGAAACTGATGAACTCTGGGGGGAAGCCTCCCAGTTCCTTATCAAAAAGCAAGCGCACAAGCAAATCCCTTCAAACCATGACTCCCCTGGTAAGAATCTGCTCGGGATGAGAAAGAGTCACAGGGTTTTCACCCCAGTCTGTGAACCACAGGGAAACACGAGATACAGGATGAGGACTGACAATAGAAATGCGACAACGAAGCCCTGGGAGATTAGACGTTATTATTAAGTACTGACGGGAGATATATTCTCAATAATTTCAGAAAATATAGCACTGCCCTGTCCTCCTGTTGTTCATCGATTTGCTCGAGCAGACACCAGTAACGTCTCCACTGTGAGACTTGTTGTTACTGTGTCTGGCATATCGAATATGTCACGGGTAGTTTGCCAGGCTTTGCCACGCGGGCGTGATACTCTCAGTAGCTTGCCGGGCTCTCCGAGAGGGGCGGAAGAATCGAACCCGGGACGGCCGGGTCAGCCACATGTAAGGCAAATGCCCTACCTGCTGTGCTACCAGGAAAATATAGAAAAAGACAAAATAGACTGTATAGGTATTATCTTCGTAGAACCACACTACAGGGGGCCGAGCAACAGGACAGCAGGTAGGGCAAAGGGAGGGCAAGGTCCTGTCATGGCCGACCCAGGTTTGATCTTCGGCAATTCATATGGTCCCAAAACAAAACAGAATGAGAAAGAGAGAGAGAGAGAGAGACAGAGAGAGAGAGAGGAGAGAGAGAGAGACAGAGACAGAGACAGAGAGAGAGAGAGAAAGGAGAGAGAGAGAGGAGAGAGGAGAGGAAAGAGGGAAAGAGAGACAGAGAGACAGAGACAGAGACAGAGAGACAGAGAGAGAGAGAGAGAGAGGAGAGAGAGAGGAGAGAGGAGAGGAGAGAGAGACAGAGAGAGAGACAGAGAGTTGAGGGATGGTAGGCGGCACCCAGGGGAGCAGGGCACTACGTGCCCACTGTACCTCACACCGCTGTCCTCAGTCACCAGGTCGCGGTCCTTGCCCTGGTCATAGTTCTCTGTGGACATTTCTGCATTTTCTACAAGAGCCTGCATGTCACTGGCAAGTAAGTTCGGTCTCTTCCTCTGTGATTTAGGGCCAAATGTCGTTTCAAAGCTTTCGGTATCAAGAATGTGCACCACTGAGTTCTATGGGAAAGGAGAGTTACAGGTGAAGCCGAGAAAAGCAAAGCAGGGGGAAACAACCTACCCGGGAAAGTCTAATTTGATTTGTCCAAGGTTCAGCCCAGACCAAAATCAACCCTCGCTGAAGGGAGTGTGGTTTCCTGCAAGAAGCAGGCATTTGACTAGGGGAAGCCTTCCCGGCCCATCACCCAGCCCTGTACGCTGCCTTGGAAATACAAAATACACCAAGTCAAGGCAAATAATGAAGGGCCATGTAGGACTTGCCAAAAACCCTGCTTTATTGCATTATCATAAACTTGAGTCAGATGTAATCAAGGCTATAGTGATGAAAATTAACTTATCTTTTCTGACCATTTTTTGTGAGCTTTCAAACAAGGGCATAAAATTCGCCAAATTCACAAGATTTTGTCAAGGACGATCAGACTCAAATTTGTGTTTTTTTTTTAAACCAACTGTAAATGCCAACTTTTTCTTGGAAGTTAATTTCTTTCATGGCTAAAAGGAATTGCTTGTTTTGTAAGATGCATTTTAGTTTCAGATAACATTTTCCCTAATTTAGGTAACGTTTTTATTAAATGCACATGGAAAGTCTTCAGATGAAAAACATCTAGCAAAGGTCCAAAATAATAGTTTAGATGTGATAAAGGAACCCGATACTAGCTAGAACTTGCTGTGCCTGTAAAAGAGTTATGGGCATAGGAATTTTTGAGGCAGGATAAAAGCCCAAGTTTGACTTAGGATTCATCACGTAACTCTATGTTGACAGCCGGCAGAGAATATCCTCAGGGGAAAAAAAAGCCCTCAGCCCTCAGCATAACGCTGTGCTGAAAGTACCAGCTACTAACCCCAAAATGATGGACCTCCCCTTTGCTTCTGAGGAGCAAGAGTCCCCACTCCAGCCAACTCCTCAAGACTCTTCAGCGATGAACGTTTTCTCAGGATCGAGGCGAGAATGATACTAATGTGGGGAGGGCGTTTGCCTAGCACGCGGCTGACCTATGTTCGATCCCCAGCATCCCCTATGGTTCCCCGAGCACCACCAGGAGTAATTTCTGAGAAAAGAGCCAGGAATAAGTCCCGAGCATCACCGGGTATGACATAAAAATAAACAAAATAAATGGTCCTCCAGCCCCGGGATCTCCAACCCATCTCTTTACTTTAATGTTACCTGCTGCCCTCTGACAAGGGAACAGCCCTAAGTAGAGGGATGTATTTAAAAATGCAGCGTGTGCTGGTTTGTGTTTGGAAACCTCCACACTAGCTAAGCGCAGTGCAGCAATGTGCAGGATATAATAAAGCAAACACACAAAGTAAGGTCCTGGATTTTCACTCTCCAGCTGTAAAAGTTAAGGGAGGATGATGCAGACAGGACGACGCACTTTATAGCCTGTCTGATTCGACCCCACGACGCAGGCATCGCAAAACTGAATTTTGTAACGCGAAGTGGATACCACACTAATGAGAGAGTGGTTTGCGGAAGCAGGAAAACCATTAATTCCTCCACGTGCTATCGCACCAAGATGCGAGCCTCTGTCTATCACTGCGCATCCGACAGTTACGCTATGCATTTTAGGACTACTGAACAACTGGAACGGGCAACAAAGCAATAAATCCATAATAAAGCCTCTCTGTTCTTCTCATAAACAGGATTCAATAGTTTGTTAAAAGATGGCTTTAGGGAGAACAGACCAAGAGAACAAGGGAAATGAGCAACTTGTCTGTGGTTCATGAATTACACTCATGTGTTTCCCTGAAAGAAAACAGTCATTCCACTAATAGGTGCCATTCTTCCAGCCATCATAAAACAAAGCATAATTGACAAAACCTGAGGCAATAACCAGGCCTTGGTTTTTATTTTGTTCTGCAAGTAAACACTTTTCTTTGAACTGTTTAATCCATGTATGCATGTCAATGCTTTCTTCCCCTCCTTATACTGGAACTGAAGCTTATGTACTGGCTACACTTCTGGGAATTATTATTTAATGCAAGTAAGAACATGCAAACATGAGCCCAGTCCTTTGGCTCCACGTGAAATTCATTCCACTCTGTTCAATTCTGTCCCTACTTTGCTTCCAGGGCCAGCGACTGACAGAGCGATCTGAGAAGCACCTCCAGGGATCTCAGAGAAGCCAAGAGGAGACGCATCACCAAAAGGTGTCCCATCTACCAACCCAAGCCCAAATGTTAAACTTGCCCACACTGAGATGGATCTGAATAGATTACCTAGCCTCAAGAGTTGTTAAATATACAGATGCTGGTCAATTTAGCTCTCATCAGATGATGTGCCAAGGGCACTACAGATGGGCACCCCTTCAACATGGGGATGAGTTCCTTAATAGTTGGAGACGTGAAAACTCGTGGAGTTCACAGGAAGGGGCAGCTTGAAGATTAAAACTCAGGGGGCCAGAGGGATAGTATAAGGGTTAAGGTGTTCGCCTTGCACGGTTGACCCTGGTTCAATCCCCAGCACCATGTGGTTTGCTGAGCGAGGCCGGGGTGATCCCTGAGCACTGGGTTGGGAGTAGGTCCTGAGCACTGCCAAGTATGGCCCCCAAACAAACAACAATGATTAAAACTTGGTCCCGGGGCTAGAGAAAGAGTACAGCAGAACTCTTGCCTTGCATGCAACTAACCCATGTTCAATCCTTGGCACTCCAAGTGGTCCTCTGAGCCCACCAGGATTGGTCCCTGAGCACAGAAACCAGGAGTATGCTCTGAAAACCATCAGGTATAGGGGGAAAAAAAAGAAAAAACAAAAAATAAAAAGAAAATACTGCCTCATTCAAAACCTGTATTTGAACCACTGTATTACTGTATCTCCCTAATACAATATAACTCAGCTTAATGGTGAGGTCCCTAACAGGAAATGTCTCAGATTTCATGGGTACTGCTCTGAAAACACTATTTTCTAGAGAGAAATGGAAGATGGGGGAGGGTGCCAAAGGAAGTCACCGAGATCCCCATCTTACATGCGGCTGGATTCGACTGTCGAGAAGAGACATGGGCAACTTGCTTTGCTTCATAACAACTTTGTATGGATCCTTCATAACTGCATTCATTTCCTCTTGAAATTTTTGTAGTGACGACTGCTTAATTACACGTGTGTTTCCTGTTTTCAAAAGAACATGGCCATTTAATAAGTAACTTCTTTCTGCTTCTCCTAACTCTTCCCAAGAACAGAGTGAAAGGCAGGATCTTAAATTACATTTCCTTCACCCAAACACCTGCTATCAATCCCATGACGCCTGTTTCAGACTTGAGAGGAAGGGGCTGGAGGGCAGAGGTTAACAGACTGAGAGCATGCCTTGCACGCAGCATGCCCAGGGTGGGATCCCCAGCATCACCAGGACTCACCCCCAAGCACTACCAGGTGTGGCCTCCCTCCGAGAAAAAAAAAAAAAAGCTAGTAAAAAAGAGAGAAAAAACCCAAAAACAAACCCTGCCTCTCCTACCCCCAGGCACTATGATCTATTCCCACATAACCATCATCCAGAGGCGTCAATCGTTTTCTAAGCCAACTTCCTGACCGGCTGAAATGGAAGGAGAAACATACCTGAATGGAACTGAGATCTGACAAATTTCCTACTTCCTGCTAGATGTGCAATGAAAATTCTAACTCTGCTCCATGGTGTAGAAAGAACCAAGTGCAAAACTTTCCAGAAAGGTAAAGGTAGTGTTTTAGGATTATGGGGGTTTGACTCGGCCAATAAATTCATTCAAGGAAACAAAATCAAAACTATCTCACACTACCTGGAGACCCTGCATTTGACCAATTAGCTGCTGCACACAAAAGCAACACTCAAGCCAACAGTCAGGGCTGTGGTGGCGGGAAACAGGTAGCAGGTGCCGTTCCAAGCACTTTTTTTTACATGTGTACTTGCTTAATTCCCTGTCCTAGGAGATAGAGTAATTGTCTCTTATTTTAGAGATAAGAAAATTGAAGGACAGTGGGCTAACTTGTTCATGGTCATGGAAATAGCTGAACCAAAGATCACATCCCAGCACTGGATGGAGAGTCCCAGAAAACAGCCTGTGAAATGTGAAATGACATGTGAATCGACCCTTTTTTGGCTTTGCTGCAGCTCCTTAGCAGGTATACGAGAGAGAAACAAAGCTAGCTGCCATCTGACCTCAAACGCAGAGATGAAACTCAACAGAGGCCTGACCCTCTGAGACGCCTGCGCACCTATGCAGAGATCTGGGAAAGGCTAGAGCCCAGACTCCACAGCGAAATGAAGGTGGAGCTCCCAGAGGAAGGAGCCCTGCTCCCCTGTGGCTCAGCAGACACTCCATTCATTCTGGGCAGAGGCCAACAATAATCTTCAAAAAAGCTATTGCACTAAACTGTGCCAGCTAAAGGCACAAACACACCTAGTGAGCACCTCTCAAACCCTCATCTCTCCAGCAACAGAAATTAAGAGGCAGGAGTTTTTGAGCTAGATTGTACAGTGGTTAGGCGGGATCCCCAGTTCCATCCTGGCACTACATAAGGTTCCCTGAGCACCACCAGGTGTGCCCCAGGAAGGGTGTGTGCGTGGGGGGGGGGGGGGGGGGGGGAGGGCGGCAGTTCTAGTCTTCGAATGCTCATCTCTGAGGAGGTTTTCATAAGAGGGTTCACAGACAGCCAACAAGGAGAGGCTCTCTTCAAAAAGAAGCTGGTTATGAGATCTACCACTGCTACTTTTTTTAACACTCTTCCACTGAAGGTACTTCTCGGCTCCTTTCCACTCCATGATCCTTGGCAGTTCCACTCAAGCAGAACTCCTGCCTCCCAGGCACCTCAACACCGCCCTCTTTTCCACAGAGAACACATTTTGTAGCACAAAAGCAAGTAAGGATGATACTCACCAAACCATTTAATATTCGGCTCCACTCTCGCCACTGTGCCAGAGGCCACTGTTGATTGATACTGCAGAGGCTTAATCACTTTACCACGATTGTTCCTAAATTGAGGAAATAACAGATTTTGGTTGACGACAGACAAAAGGCAACAGCCAAGGTTGGCTTACAGAATACCCTTTCCATCAAAAGGATCTTTCTTTTTTTGGGGTTTTAAATGATCATGAAATACAGATTTCAGTAAACAAAAAGTACTTCTACATTTGAAACAGATTGCCCAAAAGCCATTTAACCTCTTGCAACAGAGCACATAATGATTTCTGCTAGATGAATAACAAATAATGCTGATGTTTAAAAATCTGTTTACTGTTTGCGTAAAAAAAAAAATCACATACTTGAGTTTTTGGGTAATTATTGGAAGGCTGGTTTAAATGAACTTTAAGTAAAGGTTGATTCACGCTCAAACTCAAAATTCTAAAACAAACTGCAAAGTAGGTGACTAAGGCAGATTAAGTTCACTGACGTTCGTGTTTCAGACACATCTATTAGAACGGATGAAGACTCTAATTACCAAACAAATTAAGACCAGCTCACAAAATGCCACACTCAGCAAGGCCCTGAGGTAGAGGATGCTCAGTGGACCTCAGAGTAGTGCGACGCTTCCAAGTGTCACAATGCTGGTTTTATAAAAACAAGTTTTATGGGCCAGAGAGATAGTACAATGGGTAGGGCACTTGCTTTACATGCAGCTGACTAGGCCCGTTCCCTGGGACCCCATAAGGTTCCCAAGCACCACCAGGAATGATCACCAAATGCAATCAGGAGTAAGCCCTGAGCACCACTGAGTGTGGCCGAAAAACCAAGAGAGTAAAAGAAAAAGTGCCTGCCATCGAGGCAGGCCAGGGGGCAGGAAGGAAACTATAAAGATTGGTGGAGAAAAGTGGTTACTAAAGGAATGGCTGTTGGGACATTGCAAGTCTGAATCAATCATGAATAACTTTGTAATTTTGTAATTCACAGTGATTCAATACAAAAATTTAAAAAGAAAATAAGGACGCCAATTGTGATAGTCAAGACTACGAGAAACGATGCACCAGGCTGTCTTCATGGGGGCACCTTGGAGGAGGGCAGGTTGAGTTTCCCTCCCCACCCCAAGCAGAACCCCGGCAGCCAAAAACTTCCAGAACCCAGTGGCAGTCATGTTCAAGGCCGCTCTCCACATGCTCAGATGAACTTCACCCATGAGGGAGTCAACAGAGGAACCCAGGTATACGGGACCCACGGCTGAGATCTCCAAGCCTGCTTGAATCAGGACTGGGCCTCCTCCACCCAGCTCCCCAGTTTTCCAGTAACTTGGCAGTCACACCTACAAACTGCCCCCCAGCGCAAAGTACTCTCATCAACGGCCAAGATCCAGAGACTATAAAATAAAACTCCCTAAAGAGAGCTATGCAGTATTTCCTGGAGCGTGTGGCCGCATTTGCAGGCACGTGACCTCTTATACTCTAGCCCACTGATGTACCTAAGTAGTACACATTTGTTTGGTTTTAACATACTTGCTTGTATTCTCTTATATATGGGCTTAAGTGGCTCCAGAATGAAATACAACAACCTTCACACACTTCCCTCTTATTGTGGTGGGAAGATGCTCGCTGGTGAATATATGCTCGCTGAATAATATCTGTAATGAACTATTGTGAACTACTTTATGAAAATAAAATGTATATAAAAAAAAAAAAGACTATGGGAAATAAGATCTGTAACTGCCAACACAGTTATTCTCTCCCACCCACAACCTAGATCTTTAACTGAGTCCACACTTTATCCGATGATATGTGGAAACACACTACTCTCAAGGGAAGTGGGGGTGGGAACACTAAGGGCGTCATGAGGCTTGGCTGACGTCAAGGGGATGTCAGGGGAGAACTGCCGGCGCCCACCGCTCACCTGCGCTCCTTCTGCCTGTACATATTCAGGCGCCGAATTGTGGCCCGGTCCCTCATATTTTGGCCTCCAGCTCCCTGCACACGATCTAGGAGAGACAGAGGGAGACAGTACACAATTGGGTAACAAGAAGTCTCGGTACAGTCCCTGCTTCAAACACAGCAAGCGGTGGCTCACTCAAAGTAGTCAAGCTGCCACTCACTGCCAAATCTCCACTTTCAAACTATCTGTTGTCCAATAAAATTTACTGGAAGTCACAAAATATGACCACATGGGTTTAAATCTTTCATCCTCAATGGGATTGTGTATGACAGTATCAACTAGTATTTGTGAGCACTGGTGATGGCTCTATGTCATCACACAATATAGTCGCATGCACCTCATACAATAATCCCACAGAGGCAGGTGCGTTAGTCCCATTCTGCAGACTAAGGAATTGAGGTACAGTGATCAGACTCCTGCAGGTCACACAGCCACTGACTGGCAGTGACAGTATTTCACACTGCCTTATTCTCTTCACTAAGATGCCGAGGTCAGGGTCTCAGGTTAACAAGCACTATGTCTGCATGCCAGGCATCATACAGACGACGATTTTTATGTTCCCAATATACCAGTTCTTCGTTTCCTAATGCTGGGTTTTGATCAAGTATTCTTTTTCTGGTTTGTTTTTGGGACAGAAACAGACCTGAGCTATGTTTTGGGCAGACCATATGGGACCCCAGGGATGGAACCCAGGTTGGCAGTGTGCAACACAAGTGCCCTACCCCTATACCATCACTATGGCCCCATAAAACTTAATTCTTGTTTTCGTCTAAAACTAAGATGGTCTAGCGCAGATGTTTCCAAACTTATTGGCCCAACACTGCCAACAGTGTTTTTCAGGGGTGGAGGGAAATAACTGTGTCCCCTTAGAAATCTACTTTTTTTTAAGTAAAAAAAAAAAAATCCCCCCCAACCCCCGGATTATTCCAGCATTCTGCCTCCACCACCATGGCCCCACTTTGGGAAACAAATATCTAGCCTCTAAATTTGCTATCCATTGAAGTCACCAGTTTCCTTTTTGAAGGAGGCAACAACAGAAAACAAGCTGAAATCACAGGGCAGGTGGATCAGTTATACTAACTGTGCCAAGTCACTTTCCCCCTACTTTGGTTCAATCTCGACCCATGAGCTCTAAGGGCCTTTTGGGGACTAACATCCTCAGATCCCAGTCTACAAACAATAATTGATCAGCAACCCAGGAAAAACATTCCACACGAACGTTAGTCAAGAACCCTTTGAGGAGCAATAGCACAGCGGGTAGGGTGTTTGCCTTGCACGCGGCCAAGCCGGGTTCGATTCCCAGCATCCCATATGGTCCCCCGAGCACCGCCAGGAGTGATTCCTGAGTGCAAAGCCAGGAGTAACCCCTGAGCATCGCCGGGTGTAACCCAAAAAGAAAAAAAAAAAAAAAAAAAAAAACCCTTTGAACCATATATAAAAAGCAAAGTCTCATTAACAAAACCCGAATGGACGGGATCCTCCCAAAGACCTTCTTTCTCTTCTGATTTAATTTTTATCCTGTACTACTTCCCCGCGCGACATCTTATCATCTCATTCCTAATTTGGTCAAACTGGCAGGCTACCAAATGTAACATGCCCACACGGCAGAGTCTGGCAAACTCCCCGTGGTATACCCAATATGCCAAATACCAGTAACAATGATGGGTCTCATTCTCCTAACCCTGAAAAAGCCTTGAATATGGCACTTAAAAAAAAAAAAATCTCAGGGCTAGGACGAAGGAGACGTTACTGGGGCCTGCTCGAGGCAATCGACGAACAACAGGGTGGTCGTGATCGTGATCGTGACTACTTCCCCGAGCCCCACAGCCCCCTTTACACTTTCTTATTCATCCTTTGGCCCCAAAACTCATCCTTCCGGAAACGATCCTCCTCTGTTTATCTGTAGGGCTAAACGAGCGTTTTTGCCGACACTATGACTCAAATCCACAATAAATCCGATCTACGATCCCGTTCTCAAGTAAGGAGTTGGCAAGTGGGCAAGGGCAGCTGGCCGGGTGGGCCTACAGGGGCTTTATCAGCTGCTTCGTCTGCTTCTGGCAGCTCCCGGGGCGGGCAGCGCCGTCGTCAGACGAGGCTGACACGTCCGGGGCGAGGGGCTGGACACCCGGGCACGCCGGCACCCCCCGGACGGGCCGGCGCGGCGCTGCCCCGCGTGGCCCCGGACCCCGAGCCGGGACCCGGCGCCCGGCGCGCGTCCGAGCCACGAAGCCACGCTCTTCTCTTCGCCCCCAGGAGCCACTGAGCTCAGGGGGGGCTGCGGGCGAGGCCACCCGGGCGCCCCTCCTCCCGCTCGGCTCCAGCGTCCGGCCAGCTCCACCCCTCGCGAGCCCCGCCGCCGGTACCGGGGTTGGTGCTGGCCCTGGAGGGGTTGATGGAGCTTCGTCCTTTATACTTGGGCTTCACCATCTTGCCGACGGGTCGGGGACCGGGACGTCCGGTCGGGCCTAAGTCGGGGACACGAGCACGACGCTTCACGGGCCCCGCCGCAGCGACCCACGGCAACCGCGCCGGACCGCGTGTGGGTCCCGGCGACGTCACTTCCGCTCGCGCCCCGGGCGGCCCTGGGCCACTTCCGGCGAGCGCGCGCCGCCGCGGCGCTCGGGGCTGCGCCCCGCCCGGACTGCCGAGCGCCGGCCTCCGCTCCCCGCCCCGCTCCTCCCTAGCAACCGCCAAGCCCCTCTCTAGCAACCGCCGAGGGTTACTCAGCCCTCCCGAGGTTACACCGGTCCTACGGGCAGGAGCTCCTAATTGGGTCCTTAGTTTTTCTGCCAAACACAGAAAGCCCTTCTTCTTTATTTTTTGGTTACTTTTTAATTTTTGGTTTTGGCTACTTTTTATTTTTTGGTTTTGGTTTTTGGACCACATTCAGTGGTACTCGGTGCTCAATGCCGGGATCTCGGGGGTGGGGTGTAGGGGCGGGGGACCGGCAGAGGATGCGGAGATGATTAGGGGATCAAACGTGGTGTTTCTGCGTGCACATCAACTCAGAGCTTTTTTTTTTTTCCCTTTTTTGGGTCACAGCTGGCGATGCCCAGGGGTTGCTCCTGGCTCTGCACTTCTGGTGGTGTTCAGAGGATCATATGAGATTCTGTGGATCTAGCCCGGGTGGGCCGCATGCAAGGCAAACACCATCCCTGCTGTACTATATGGTTCTGGTCCCACGTCAACTCAGAGTTATCTCGTCTGTCTGAAACCTCTTCTTAAGTTTATTTTCCTTCCTCATTTGAGTCAGTTTTCCATACAATTCTGCATGATTTGAGCCCCTGCCTATTGATGTGATCTATTTTGTACGTCCCTCCTTTGTTTTTCCCCTGATATTTACATTGGACGGTCTTTCCATCTTTTTTTTTTTTCCTTTTGGGTCACACCAGTCATACACAGGGGTTACTCCTGGCTTTGCATTCAGGAATTACTCCTGGCAGTGCGCAAGGGACCATATGGGATGCTGAGAATTGAACCCCGGTTAGCCAAGTACAAGGCAAACCCCCCTACCCGCTGTGCCATCGCTCCAGCCCCTCCTTCCATCTTCTTCTAGCTAATTCCTTATAGCCAGTTTTCAGCTCAAATGTTACCTCTTGGTAGGGTTGCAAGATTTAGCAAATGAAGAACAAGGGACAGCTAGTAACCCTTCAGTTTCAGAGAAGCAATGTTTAGTACGTTCCCATGTAATATTTAGTGTATACTTATATTAAAAATTAATTTTTCATTGTTTATCTGAAATTCCAGTTTTACTGGATACCAAGTTTAACTGTATGGGGGAAGGTGCAGATCACCAGTAGAGTTTGGTATCACTCTCAACAGTGCTGGGGGACTTTATGTGGTGCTATGCATAGGACCAGGGTTGGCTGAAGCAAGGCGAGTGCCTCAATCCCTCTACTTTGTCCCTCGTCTAGGATAAAGGTAAAGGTAAAGGCCCTCCCATTGATCATCAATTTGCTCGAGCGGGTCCAGTAACGTCTCCACTGGAGACTTTGTTGTTACTGTGTCTGGCATATCGAATACTCTCGGTAGCTTGCCGGGCTCTCCGAGAGGGGCGGAGGAATCGAACTCGGGTCGGCCATGTTGGCCGCGTGTAAGGCGAACGCCCTACCCGCTGTGCATGCTATCGCTAGGATATTCAATATTAATTTTTCTCTTTTAATTTTTACCTTTATTGAGGTGTTGGTATTAAATCCAGAGCCTCATACATGCAAAGTTAGTACTTTTTTTTTCTTTTTGGGTCACACCCGGTGATGCTCAGGGGTTACTCCTGGCTCATGCACTCAGGAATTACTCCTGGCGGTGCTCGGGGGACCATATGGGATGCTGGGAATCGAACCTGGGTCGGCCATGTTGGCTGCGTGCAAGGCAAACGCCCTACCCGTTGTGCTATCGCTCCAGCCCCAAAGTTAGTGCTTTACCTTTAAGCTACACCTCCAGTCCCTAGAGATTTCTCCTTTTCTGTGTGTGTGTGTGGAGGGGTGACTCTTGGGTTCTCCCCATGAAATGTGTGGCTCTTATCCCAGCGGTGGCAGGTGTCAACCCCAGACTTCTCACATGCATTAGATGCCCTCCAGCTCTTTAGGTTATCTCTATGGCCTCTTAAATTTTCTCCCCTGACAGCACTTCCCTCTGCTGCTACAGTACTAATAACTGGGGCTCTGGGATCAGAGATAACTCCTGTCAGGGCTTAGGGGATCATATGGGATGCTGGGAATCAAACCTGGGTCAGTTGCATACAAAGCAAGTGCTTTAAGTCCTGTAGTATCTCTCCAGCCCCAGGGTTTGCAGTCTTGAGTGCCACGCTTGGGCTTACTGGAGTGGTCATAGCCCTGGCCTTGGGATCCCATAGCTTTCTAGTTGTGGGCTCTCTGGAAGTTGTATCTGATAGTTGCAGTGCTGGCACAAAGCACAGTAACACAGTTCTGTGTTACTGAAGTTGCTTTCAGCACCAAGTATAGCAGGCAGCAAAACTGGTAGGATTAGGCTTTGCACATCCAGCAGGCATGAAACTTGCAGCCTCGCAATTGCAAAGCAGCTATTCCATCCACGGAGCCATATTCCAGTTTCAGGCATCTTGTTTTTTTATCTGACAACCCTTGTGAGAAGTCCTTTCTGTCTGATCTATCTAGGTTCATGGTCTCTCCCACCCACACCCCTTTATGCAACTGTATGTCTGCTTCATTTTGTGACTTTATTCACTTTGTAGCATTTATGATGGAAAATATCTTATTCACATGTTTATGACCTGCTTCCCCAAAGATCAAAGGTAAGCTTCTTGAGAACAGGGACCTTGTAAATTGTTTATTATTGTATTCAAGACTTAGAACAGCTTTTGAAACATGATAAAGATTCAATGAATATTCATTAAATTAAGCCATGATTAGTTGATATCTTAGCTCAGTCAGCTGAAACACAATGCTGTAGGCTGAGGGACTCAAAACAACTAACTTATTTCTCACAGCTTCTGGAGGCTGGAAAGAAAGTCTAAGGTCAGGTTGCCCACCATAGATTGTGTTTCCAGGGAAAACTCTCTTCTTGGCTGACAGCCAGCTGAATTCTCAGGGGCCTGATAGGTAGTACAGTTGACCCCAGTTCAATCTCCAGCATCACACATGGTCTTCCAAGGACAGAGCCAAGCCCCGAGCACCACTAGGTGTGGCCACAAACACACGCAACTGATTTCTCACTGTCCATCATGTTGGAGAGGGGACATTCTGATCTCTTACTCTTTTAATTTTATTATTTTTTCTTTTTGGGTCACACCCGGTGATGCACAGAGGTTAATCCTGGCTTTGCACTCAGGAATAACTCCTGGAGGTGCTCGGGGAACCATATGGGATGCTGGGAATCGAACCCGGGTCGGCCGTGTGCAAGGCAAATGCCCTACCCGCTGTATTGTCACTCCAGTCCCTCTCTTACTCTTTTTATAAGGGCACTAATCACATCCTGGGAGACCTCCCCCAGGACCCAGGGCCTCATCAAAACCTAATTATATCCCAAAGACCCCACTTCCAAATATTGATTAGGTTGCTGATCAGAACTTCAGTTGACAAATTATAGGTTGCTACAAATTTCTAGTCCATCAGGATGGATGTGCCTCTTGTCCTGATGAGGAATGAGGGTAGTTAAGACCCAGAAGTTTCTGTTTTTATTTGCTAAGAAAACGTCTCTAGATGCCTGTATTTCTGCGGAGAAGCCCACCCACGTTAGAGCCTTAACAGCAGTCCTGAGAAGGGGCATTTAGGCAGGAGGGAAATGGCCTGTGAGTCTGGTCAATCTGTAAAAGAGACTTGTATAAAGTGAGGTAGTCCGGTTGTGGGAGGGATATTTGAATCATTACTTCTTGAGTGTGAAGCAAACAAACCCCAAAACAATCTTTCTAGAGCAAAAGCAGGCCTGTCCTAGACATGAGAAATACCTTCTCTCTCTGGAGACTCACTTACATTGCCCCAAGGCGAGTCTCCTAAGATTAAACACAACTTTTTTGAGAAAGACCCTTGACCCTACACATGACAGCTGGGAGAATCTCCAGGAGCTGGCCAGGACACCTTTATGCCCAGTGAGGACCCGAAGGTGTCCCCTTCTGCCTTATGCAGCAACGGCATTGGTCGCCAAACGAAGGTACAAGAGCCCACTCCCTGTGAGAAGGCCCGGATAATGTGTTTCTGATGCCTCAATTTGGTTCAAACTAGAATAAACACAAATGGCAAAAATCAGCTCATGAGCTCATTCAGGCTTTGATCAGAGACATAATTTCATTATGAAATTTTGAATCAGGCTGTTGTGAAGTCTTGCCAAGGAGTTTCATTTTCCCAGATGATATGGTGGGTTGTTTCTCTCCTGTTCTCATACTCAGCTTGCGTTTATCATATGAACTTTCCATTAGTTTTATAATTTGAACCATCAATTCTTTCATAACATTATTTGCTGATCCCAACAATGAATGTCAGTTCTTCGGGTCATTAATAAGCCTGATCAAGGTTGTCAAGCTGTTGTTAATGGTTTGTTTATGCATGTCCAGCTTATCAAAATTGTAATACCATGGCTGTTTATTCATTCTCCTTCCTGGGGTGCTGGTCACTCAAGGAGGTAAGACACACCTTCAGGCCTTCAATTCCTCAGTCGAAAAACGGACGAATCTATACCCCTATAAGACGGCATTGTGCATCTTTGAGTTGTGATACGAATAGCAGAGATGTGGTTTTCCCTTTCCTCTGGATCAGGATTAGCTCCTTATAACTTGGAATCTTCCCCCTCCTAACCCCCTGGTTCATGTGAATGGGAAGACCCTGGCTGAAAATGACCAGAAATGCCACCTCTTTGCTACAGCCTGGTGGGAAAGAATGGACCAATATTTTCACAGCAAGCGGAGTGAAACTTTAACCTCCATGTATCCTGAAGAAACATTTGCTTTAGGACCTAATGGGCGAGTAGCAGCAGTTCTAAAGGAGCAGTTTTCAGAGCGTGGCCTGAGGACGCACAGGCTTCAGATCACTTTGAGGTGGAGGACTGGTTAAAAATTCAGAATCCTGGGCTTCACCCC